CATGCCCGTACCATCCTCTCTTAAGGGCTTCCGAAGACTCTGAGAGGGCTTCGTAAATTCAGCATTGCGCCTGGCACATCAGAGTCAATGACCGTATCTCGGTTTTCTGTCTTAAGCTGAGCACTCACCACGGACAGAGTCTTCCATCGCTCATGCTCGCAGCGCGCTGGACACGGTGATCCTTTTTGTCTCGTGCCCGTTTCATTCATGGTCGTGGTGTAACTCTCCGGTCGCTCCCATCTCAGAGACTTTTTGGAGCTTCAATGTTCGCGGAAGGAAGCCTGCCAAACAAACTGATGCATGCCCGAGCGGGCAAAGCCTACGCCGCCTACGCCTACGCACTGGCATCAATACAGTTTTTTTTGTGCGGTGAGAAGCTTGTGTTGTGATGTTGTGAACCCGGCCGAGCCGCGTGCCCTACATCATCCTGCTGTCACAGTCCGCACATCTGAGCCAGGACTGGCCCTCCACCTCGGACGGGATTCGCGCAGTCTGCATAAGTGTGAGACAGCCTCAACTACTGTATGAAGGGACTTGCCGGCACGAGCTTGTGCTTGGCCTTGTGTAAGGAGCGGACATTCTGCGATCGAGATTCAGAATGCCTTGCATATCATCCTCAGGCCGGCAGATGGCAGAGGGCAAGCCCTCCCTTCCTACCTCCTCGGACTCCTCGCCCCTCGCCGCTTCCCGTTCTCTCTCAGAGGCGCTTGGAAGATGTAGTGCAGCCCTCAACGTTCAGTGCAGAGACGCTGTCTTTGGTCACATTCCTTGGCCGAGGAGACTCGAGATGGTTTGGGGTCTCCGGCAGCTGGGGGCAGTGCCAGGCAGATATCGGCATCAGCTTTCTCTGCTGTTTTCTTCCCCCGATCAATTCCGATCATACTGTCATGGGAAGCACAGTCAAAGCTACAGAGATGACCCATGGTGAAAATAGAGCGTGAAAGTGTCATCCTGTGCCAGTGGACTCCTGGGCCTCGCCGTGCAGCTGACGCCTTCGATAGCCGTGGAGCTGCGGCAGCGGCACGGGAGCCGATTGAAGGACCGAGAAGTGGTGGCCTTTGAGCCCTGAGTCCATGCATGTCCATGCTCTGCTCGGAAGAGGCCCTCTGCCGCAGCTGTCCAAGCAGATTGAGGGCGTCGTTGGTGCAGGGCCTGGCCATTTCTTTGCTTGACTTCACTGCAAGTACGCAGCACAGCTTAACGCAATTGCAGCATGCAGCAAGTCTTGTGGTTCGTGATGGCCGAACAGGCTTTGGGATCTGAAGCAGAGCTCGAGCTGATTTGGGTATTGAAGGGGGAGGCCAGTGTCTGGCATTCCGGGTTTTTGCAGTGGCAAAAGGCTTGACCACTATGGTAACTCACCTCTTATCATTATTGAGAAATGTCCGGTGCATCGCAGTGCGCGAAGGCAGGGCCCCGGCCATTTCAAGAGATTTGGGAGCCCTGCATGCCCTAAGAGGCCAAGACCATGTAAGCGCAGAGTGCAGTGGCAACATGGCATCAAATACGATGTCAAGCGGCATAATTAATACGGCGGGCACGATTCTTCATCCAAGGTGCCAGATCTTAAGAAGGAGGATTCCTGGCACAGTCCAGACAGCAATCATCGCGCTGTGCTGCTAAGGTCGGGTACGATCCTCCGTTGCTGCTGCTGTCAGGATTGCCGGAGGCAGAGAACTATGATCCATGTGATCTTCGGCTGGGTCGCTGAGCCCTGGTCGCTGAGCCCTGCATAGCCCTGCTAGTCTCGCACAGTGGCCGAAAGTAGGATCCTAAGTGCAGAACTGTTGCCTGAAGGCGCTGCACGCGGCCCTTCCGCAGGCGAGCGTGAAGAAAACATCCTGACTTGCAGCCCATCCGGGTAGCTTCGTTATGTTTAAGAGACATGTCAACGATTTCCGTCGCAGGTGAGAGACATGCTGCAGCTGAGAGGCCCAGGTCTCGTGAGCGCAACTTTTCATGCTCTGCTTGGCTAGCATCTGCTTGATGTTGTCCGACACATCCCCAGCGATCATGCTTCTGCTACAAATCAATTCTATCTCCTCACCTGACGCGAGAGCTTTCTGCTTGGGAAATCTGTTGCTTATGTATGTATTGCGGACAAGACAGGCTGGCATGCAGAGTTGCGGGATGCTGCCCGCATCCTGGATGGTAGTTTCCGGTTTGCAATGTCTTCCAACTAACTCAACGGTGGCCAGTTGGACAGATCGAGGCACTACCGGCGCAAACCATGGCTTCCGGCTGCAAGCCCAGAATGTCGTATTGCATTGTCATTGTCGGTCATGGTTCGCCAGTGAAGAACTTGCAGTCTGCCCCTCAGGCGTTGTGCGGACTGTGCCAGCGATACCAACGGTGCCCGTCGGCGATTACAGCCTTTGGGTATGGCTCAAGAGCCTGGACGGAGGAGTATCACCTCGCAAAATTCTGCGGATTGATCCTAGTGGTGGAGACTGACAAATCCACACTTTGCAGTCAGATGTCTCAGAACTTACAACGCATTGATTGGCTTGGGTCAATGGGGTCAAGAAATTCACTCTCCGCCCAGCACATTTCCCAATCCCTAGTCGGTTTCGTGGGGTGCAGCTACCGACAGATTTAACACCAGGCTTACTCGTACGATCTCGTGCCGGCTGCGATCCCGGGCAGTGCAACTCTAGTGACTCTAGTGCTGCAGTTGAGCTAGGGCGAGGATTCATGTTAGAGTCTGCTGGAGCCACTGGAGCCAACGCATTAATGCGAACCTTAAAGAGGAGTTGGAGAGATGTTGGTGTACTGCGACCGCTTGAACGAGCTTTTCCAGGCCAGGATGGTCATGTCAAGGGCCGGGGCCGGTGTTTGCAGAGTTCATCAAGCATTGACCGGCCAACGGCTTGCATTCCAGATTGTGTGTTTGGCGTTTACTGTACCTCGTGCTGAGGCCGTAGCATGTTTGATTTGGCACATTTTGGCACTTTCGTGCCTCCCCTGCACCTCGGGATTTGGCACCTGTGTGTGTGACAGACAGGCGCTGACTCGGAATGCTGAAAAAAACATTCTGGTTCAAACGTCTGACAGACGCCCTGACAAGCTGCGGTTGACGCGCACACACACCTCCAAAGCCGAACGAAACCTACGACACTGTTCTGTAATTTTCTGTACGACTGTACGATTCTGTACGCAGGGACTGGAAAAAAGGATGCTGCTTGATCAGCGGTTTGCGAGTGATGCGGCATCTTGAAGGCGGTATTTTCGATATCACTATAGCCTATAGCTTTTGCATCTCTGCACGGACATGCAGGACATCAGTCAGTTGTCGGCTGTGCGTGCTCCTTATTATAGCAGCATAGCAGTCCAAGATGCAAGTGTTGCACTGCCAAGGCATTCTGGGCCATTTGGCGAGGTGCCGGATCCACGCTTTCTGCAGGAGCACTGAGAGCTTGTGCCTGGCAAAGCAAGGGTTCGGTCACGACGCGAGTCTGTCACGAGAGGCACGTTCCGACAAATTTAACCACAGGCACGTGAGAGCCGCCTCGGAACTGGTCCGCTCTTCGCTAGTTTATGCGGGGTCGGGGAAGCCGGGAGGGGGGCAGGGGTGAAGCATCCAAAGTATGGGACCCGAGCCCGAAACCGTGGAGGACCCATCGACACAACCGTCAAAAAGTACAGCTGCTCCTACCTACCCTCCCAAAAAAATCAAAAAAGGTTGCTCAAAAAGTGGAACTGTTTCGCTGTAGTTGTTGTCTGCTATTTTCTGCTGTCTGTACGCAAACCCAGGAAGCCAGTGAGTGAGTGAGTGAACCCCGGCCTCCGGCACGACAGCAAAAACAACGCGCCCCGGGGACGAGCAAAAAAAGCAAAACGCGCCCCCGCAACGACAGCCAAAACGGAAAATCCGCCCCGGGGCGGGTTGTTTTTTTTTGCTGGCGTTGCGGGGGCGCGCTGCTTTTTGCTGTCGTCCCCGGAGCGCGTCGATGCAACGACAGCAAAAGAACAACACTCCTACCAGAAAAAGTCCATTCCCGGGAGCCGATCTTTCCATTGGCCCTGGGTGAGTACAATGTAATTGCATTACACCTGCTCCCAAGGGTCGGATGCGCGCTCCGGCCTCCGGCCTCGGCAGAAGGTAGTCACATCTGGTATTAGGAAACAGGCCGCAACCTCAAAGTCCTCGTCGGATGAAACCCTGAGAGCCTTCTTATGCATGGCGACCCAGCAGGAGCTGCGTGTCCATCGTGAAGATCATCGTGAGATCTTCAGGCGCCAGACAGCAAACTCATGACACTTCATACTTTATAGATGCTGAGGTACGTGACAATGAACGTCGTTGAAGTCTCTGCGCGTATCTCCATCTATCGAGACCAACCTTCCATAACACCTCATATGCATTGTCCTTGCAGCAACACTTCTGCGAATGGATCTCTAGCATATTGGCTGCACGATCTTGACATGTTCCACCAGCGAATGCGCATGCCTAGCGGTTGTGGCATCAGGCGATGGTTTCGTGAGCATGCCATCAAGCAGAAGGCAGTGCAACCGATCGCAGCATAGATATGCGTCTGTGACTGTCTGCGGTAAGCAAAAGTGAAAACTTTCAGTCAGACTCGGGCGGCTTCGTGAGGCAGCGTAGAACATGTTGTGTGCGTTTGCCACGATGTGGATTTGGAGTTGTCTGAATTGATCAGCAAGCAAGGAACTCGATGCGCATGTTGCTGCAAACGATGGTTTGACTCGTCGGCGCGCCAGGAGCAGCTAGAAATTGTCAGAAGAATTGACCCCATTTGCTCTAGACTAACTGCCGGACGGATGAGACCTAGAGGCTATACATCCGGAGACAGCCCCACGATGTCTGTGAGCAGCCTTTGGCTATCTGTCCGCAGACGCCAGCAAGCGACCGCCAGAAAGTGCTCTGCGCCCGTCGAGACAGAGATAGCCCGTGCAGCCTCCTGAGACCCTACCGCCCTACTGGTAGTACGCGAGCATGCGAGACTCGAAGCTTGGCATGGCCGTGACATGCTTCGTTCATGAAGCCGGACCCTTATTACCAGCGCCCAGTTGGTCCCACTTGCTCAAGCTGAGCTGACAGTGTCAGCAAAGACATACTTGGGATCTTGACCGGACATTGCACGACGCGGAGAATCGGATGCGCGTGTCGAGGCACGCCGAATGCGACCGAGTGGATGGGATGAAGAGCGTCTGCGGCTTAGAGAGCCTCTTTAAGCAGCAGTATTGGGAGATCATTCATGGCCAGGTCAGCTCTGAATGGGTGCTTCCTCTCACTGTCGCCAGCCTCCCAGTCTCTGGCGGATGCCGGCGGCGATGCTGACCTGAAGCAGCTGCAAGATTCTGCAAGATAAAAGTGCTAGGCTGCTAGCAACTGATAGCGACGAGCGTCACGGACCGCAGACACAACACTCGTTTGCATAATTGTCAATGCTTTGTGTCGTCCACCTTGGTCCGGGCCGCGTTGGAGGAGACGGAGGGGAAAAGTGTCCTCAAAACATCAATGGAACTGGAAATCCAATGGAAGTCATCGAATTTCACCATGCGAACGATCCAGAAGGGCTTGGGGACAGCGGATAGGGCATCAATGTGGGAAGCCCTCACTGCTTCGTACAGGGGTCGAGGCGAAGTCTTCATTCAATATGTATCAACGAAAAGCAAGCTTGGCAAGATAACGGCTTGATCTTCACGACTCCCGACAAATTTAAGTTCCTGCTGATGATTTTGTTCGGCACATGGCCACTGTCCGCCTCTAAGGCGTGTTTCTGGCCGGGGGCTGCTACGCAGACTTTTACATCAACCACACAGACAACTGTTACATCCACCGTGCCCAAACAGTCAGTGATTTCCGGGATGCATGTGGGCAAACGGCTCGCTCATGAAGGTACCACCTTACCAGTATTTCCAGGGCGACTGGTCGGCATGCTCGGCTACCTGTGCGGTAGGCACACGCACTCGAGAGGCTCATGTTGCAGCGCAACAGAATGTTTTTTCTTGAGCAGCACTGCGCTTGCCGCAGGTGTTCTGCTACGAGACCTGCAGTGTTCCTCAATTCTGCACTGTTGCAGAGGAGAAATGTCTGTTCCTGAGGGCTACGAGTGGAGGTGTCAGGCAGCGCTCAGATACAGCAAAGCGACAAAAGCTGATGAGGTGCAGGTATCACCAAACCACTTAGCTTCGACTACTGCTGGCCACCGGTAGCATCCTGTCCAGCTTTCTTCTCAGCCGAGTTGCCTTGATCTGTCACGGTCGGACTTGAACATGCATTGGTGTGCATTGAGCATTGGTGATGTACACTCAGCCGAGGACTCAACAACCATGTCTTCCACAGCCAGTCTCACAAGCACACGTTCCACCAACACGCAAACGGCAGCTTCCTAATTTGCAAGTGGCATGTTGTCGGAAAGTCAGCTAATGGCAGGCAGTAGATGCGAGCGTGTAGCAAAGTGCCGCAGAGTTTCCGTGAGTTTGGTTGAAGTGCTGCGCTGCTCTGTGATGGGATCTCGCATGTGACAAGGCCACATCAAGAACTACAACGCAAGGGGTGCGGACCGGCTGGCTCTGCGCCCGAGCCTCAGATGCCACCAGAGGCTCACATGTTGAGGTTCTCACGTGGGGGAAGTGTGTACTAGTGACTACTAAGTGACTAGTAGTGTATAAAAACTAGAAAGTCGATTCCGACTGGTCATCCGATGACTTCGACCGCGGCCCATCGCTCATGGCTGCAACGGCCAATCTCTTTGTCAGTCCATGAGATGTGGTGGAAGCAGAATGGGATTCTGAACTCTGTCTTCTGTGTAGCTCCTCAACAACTGAGTATGGTATTTACTTTCTGGTAATGACAACTGGTTCCTTCCATCATTCCACCTTCGACGATGACGTGGCACGGAGCGAAGCCAAGAATCCGATACATGCGGCTTGCGAGCGACTGTAACAGTTTAACAGAGTATGCACCTCGGTTGAGGCCCGTTACGGCCTGTTTCTGGATTGACGATTAAGCCATGAACACGAAGGAAAACTCAGGTCCAGTGGCATCGACCGAGCACCTTTCAGCTCATTGAACAGTGTGGGCAACCCAAGATTGTGCTCGCGCGAAGTGCGGGCAGAGACTGATGGTCGCTTCACGGCCTAAGAGAGAGGTAGCACATCGGCCGCTGCCACCCGGGGCTCACTTCCAGTGCGAGAATGCTGAGCTGCTGGACTGGGGTGGGAAGGGCTGGCAGAGGAACCTGTACGTTGAAAGGGATTTGCAGGCAGTGGTGATCGCCGCCTGCAAGCACATTCTCAGAGCTGTTATTGTCAAAGCTAGTCAACCAAAGCCGAGCACGAATACATATTTTGTACGCTGCATTGCACACCTGCTCAGGTGCACGAAGCTTCGACTGGATGTGTGGCCGCCTCCATTGCCAGGGGCATAGTGCAATTCGGAGCGCAGTGCGATTCGGAGCTGCAGGTCTCGGCCCATCTCAGCTTTCATTTGACCTTCACTTCGCTCCCTTCCCTCCTGCGTAGCTCCTGGCGGGCCGTGTTGCGTGGGAGTGGGACGGCCGCAGCAGTCACTCTGGGCTCGCATGCAGAGGGGTCACTGCACATGTAGGGCTTTCCATGTAAATCGGCTTTTGGCATTGCTCGAATCGAAGGTCGTCTATCGATTATGGTGATTAGTGGAAAGAAAAGAGTCGTTGCTCTGAGACTTGTGTCATAGAACGAGCACAGAAAGCATGCCCAGTTCCCAGGCTCAAGTGCAGTGTGGATCGAGCTGCCCATGCTGCAAGCGCTCGGGCATCCAGGCGACTTGCCAGCAAACCAATGCAAGCATGATTTTGGTGCTGCGCCGAGTCCACCACGCCACGACCTTTTCAGCCCTCAGCCGCTCAGCTGCAGTGGGCCGTGGCCAGGGTCATGCAAAGAGCAGGCAGGCCTAGACCGGCATCCGGAAAGAGAGTGTCTTCGGTCAGCATGGTCAGCATCAGGATGGTGGGAACGAGGTGCTGGCGGCCCAAGTCTCCGAAAAGGAGACATTCTGAAGCCGGTGTGTTCAATTTCAAGCCTAGGTCTGCAGCTGTGGTTATCACAGTTACATTGACATCGGCAAGGTGCTTAGCTCGACAAATTGTATCGCTGTGAGCACTGATAGCGATTGACGCGTCCCGCCTGTCGGGGCAGCTTAAGTGCTGTAACCACGGCAAGCCACAGCTGAGGGGATTTACTTACGCTCAGTCTCAGTCTTCCAATCTCGCTTTGCAGGACTCGACCTCAAACAAGCCGTAGCCGCATCTCTCTTCCGCATGGGTTCTTTCCAGGGGACCGGGGCGCCAGTGAGGGGGCACTGCTTAGTTTAAGGCGTGGCTTCGACTCGATGAAAGAGCTTCGGGCTTCGTTTGACGTGGTCGCCAGTCGGGGTACGTAGTTGGGATCAATAAAAACAAAGCAGGATCAATAAAACATAAAAAGGGATCAACAAAAGATCAGTTAACAACTAAAACAGAGCTGCGATTACTCTTATTACTAGTACTACTATGGTATTTTCAATATTCTTTCTTATATTTTTGTCATTATTACTGTTGTTACCATTGTCACTATTGTTACTAGCCCCCCCACCCAACCCCCGCGTTCCTTTTTTGGAGCTGTGCAAGCTTTCTTTAATATTAAGGAACATCGTGCCATCAACAACTGAACCCATATGAGTCACGGTCAAAACGCCGTTAGTCTAGGCTGTATTATGGAATGACCCACGGTTTCCAACAGACTTGGATTTTGAGGGCGGCCGCAATTACATGCATAGGTTGAACAGAGTCAGAGGAAGCGTTTGTGCGAGCCTGGCCGATTACCGATACCCCGCCCGCTACCCCCCAACGGTCAGAGCATGCTGGCCTTGTGTTTGCAAACTGGGAGGGCGGCGCCCCACAGGCCCCTCCGCTCTGTGCTACCAGTAGTACTCGTACTGACTACAACAACAACTACTACTACTACTACTACCACCAATACTAGTACTAGTGCTATTACTAGTACTAGTACTACTACTACTACTACTACTACCACCACCACCACGACTGCTACTGCTACACTACTACTACTACTACTACTACTACTACCACCACTACCCCTAACCCTACCGCTACCACTACCACTACCACTACCACTACCACTACCACCTTCACGATATCATGTTTTAGCGCACTGCGATCACGAGCAGGTTTACGTAGCTGATCGCAAGGTTGGCACTAGTGCGTTGTTGAGGTGGCACTGGTCTCTGGCTTTGCTTTTGCTGGCTGGCGGTCTTGCAGCAAATCCAGAAGGCCAGCTCCCAGAAGCGCCTGCCATGAAACATGCAGTCTCCTGCGAATATGGCGAGCCGGCCAAGGAAACAACTCCACGCCGGCACTCACATTCCCAAGGTCCTCAATGCAATGGAACCATCAGATGCAATCAACTCCAAATCATGTGGTCTAGTGAAAAGCTGTGCCAGGCGGAGGCATATGGCAGAGCAGACTCTCGCCATACCGACCCGAGAAGGTACGTTCTATGGTACGTTCTGTAGCCGATGGGACAATGGTAATGGCCACTGCAGACATTTTGTGGCGACAGCAAGAGGAGAATGATGCTGCTGGTGATGTTTCAATTACGAAGACAAGATGATGACGACCACGAGGACAATGATGCTTGTGTCGATAGTGGCGGCAAGGGTATTGAAAGCAGTTGCAAGTATGATGAGGTGGAGCATGCGAGAAGAAGAAGAAGATTGTGATTCTTTCCATGGGCGGAAGTATGGTGATGAGGATGCTGGTGATGCTGATGCCACCGTCGTCACCGTCATCATCACCGCTGCCAGCATCATGAACAACTGCGACATTATCACGGACATCATGACCTTCATCTGATAATAAACCATCAGCATCACCATCAACATCGTCGTTTTTGTCGCACCACCTTCATAGGCAGCGGCATCATTTCATCATCATCCTCATCGTCACCGTCATCAGCCATGTTCATGCGCAGCCAGTTTCTGCCGCGAATTGAATTAATTACCCAGCTAGCTAAGCGCTGCAGCTTCGCACTTGCCAGCGCAGGGTGAACACGGATGCCGGGCAAGAGGAAGCAGTCTACGATAGGACAGTGCCAGCAGCGTCAACTCAGACGCCTTGAATGATCAGACCATTACAGATGCTCGCACTTTCCGACACAAGCAGGAAGCTGGGCAAAGGGATTCCTTCTGCTGCTCCGGACGGCTTCTTCGATGGGCCTCCAGACTGGTCCCGTTCCAAGCATGTTGGCAACACTACGATCATTGCAAGGTGAGTCGGCGAGGGGAAGCTAGTTACAGCTAGTTACAAGTAGTTCAGTTAGGAGTACTTTTGAGAACAGGTTCGGCATCCAAACGGACATACCGCAGACGTGAACTCGCAGGATGAATGATGAGGAAGAGGGCACGTCGAGCCCGAGCAGGCCGTCGGGACAGACACATCTCGATGGACCTCTCGAGCGCACTTCAAGTGTGAGTACAAAGGTTTTAATGACAGGTCCCACACTGCCAAGGAGAACATCTTCACCCGCAGCGAGGACAAGGCTTTCTTTCCTGAACTCTGCCTGGCGTTGGTCGACTGTAAACCGCAATGTGATGGCTGCTTGGAATGCTCCGTCGGACTGCGAGGCACGCTCAACACAGTCCAGTCCTATGCGAAAGGGCAGGCAGTGGTGCATGAGTTCTTGCTTTGACGAAGACGTGCTGTACTACCACGCAAACGAGCATCGCTGAGAGACGCACCCGGAGCTCCCGGCGCCGCCGGTCCGCTCCGCTCGCGGTCACAGGGTCACAGCTGCACTCGGCATCTCCAGAGCCCAAACTCTCCCGGATTGCGAGTCTCCGCTCCCTCCCCCCTCCCAAAAAGTGCACACCGCAAAGCGTCAGCTTGGAAGAACTGGGAGGCATAAGGCATTCCGACATTCCTTCGTTCCACACAAGAAGGCGTCAAGAAGGGGCAGAGCGCTGAAGAGGAGAGTCTTTCGGGAAATGAACATACATCAGCCGGACGATGCATAATCATGACAAAACACCGTGCACAAGAAACATGGTTGGACGTTCAGATGCTTTCAGAACCGTTCCACCAACCGTGACTTAGTCTGAGTCATTATCATTCATAACACAAACAAAGCTGAGCGTCTCTTAGTGCTGGTGCATCGGGCGGTAATACCCCTTAGCACCCCGAAGTCTTCATTTTTTGTCAGCTTTAGCTGGCGCGATGCTATAGTCGAAATCACGCCACAACGGCGTGCTCGGGCGGTCCACCCCGAAAAAAGTGTGTGTGTGTGTGAAGGCCAGAAACCAAACCATCAGAACGAGCTTCGAAGCGCTGGAAACGCTTCCATCCCCCGCACCCGCAGTACTGAAAGCTTCCACGCGCCAGACTCAGACGGGCATGCACAAAATCATCCGAGGAACAGCATGTGCAAAATGGTGAGAATTGCTAGATGTGGGAGATTCGATGCCAGCAAGACGTTGCGGTTTCGCGTGTGATCAAGCTGTCCAGCGTGCCTTTTATTTTGAGGCAGCACGAGTAGATGCTGAGACAGGATGCCGAACTGGAAAACTCGGTTACGACTACATTTGCGACGTGTATGACTACACTAACTAGCAGCAAGTATGTTTTAGTAGGAGCGGGTTGGGGTGTTAAAGTTAAAGGTGTTGATAGGTGTTGGATTGGGCGTGCATTGATGCCTTGGCCACATCAAATTTACGATATGCGTGGAGGTTTATCCCAGCAGAGGCTGGCAAAGATGAGAACGACGAACATGAAGAGCTCTGCACCGAGCACATGTAGAGATTGGAAGGGTCCGAGTCAAGCCGTGAGCTTCTCAAGGAGCCCCAGAGCGACCCCGACTTCGCCGTCGGGGCCGCGGCCCTGGAGAAAGCTTCTTAGGTGATCTCCTGGAATTATCCGCCTGGTCAGAAGTCAAAAGAGTCAACGTGCCAGGAAGACTGAACAGAAACAGCGTTGGAATCAGCCAATGAGTGGATACATGCATGACATCCTGACTTGCTCCGTACCAAAGGACTTTGCCTCCTGGCTATGCATCAGCTGCCCGACGCAACCGTCGGACAGGCGCCGCTTGCGTTTGCATGCACGAAATTTCATGTTGGTCGCAAGGGTGGTTAGACGGCCTGCAGATGCTCGCAGTCCGCGGGCCATAGCAGGCAAAGAGGCGCCGGACGTGGACAGCTTCGCAACCGCGTGAAACCGATCTGTCTTCGAGAGATACGAGAATCCGTCACACTAATTTCTTGGACGCTTCATCATGATGTTCACTCAGGACAGCCATCAGGTCCCGGGTCAGGCATGGCTGTGCATGGCTGTCGTGATTTGCCAAGACCCGTTTCCCGGCCCCTGCCTCGTACCAGGCGAATGCCTCACCACGTCAAAGTGCCGTGCCCAGAAAATTTAACAGTGCAGCTGCCACTGGTCAAGCGGATCTCAGACACTTCAGGCCAGTCCAAGAGCAAAGCGTCGCAACCTGGCAAGGAGGGAACACAGGGAACGATTCGGTAAGGATTGACGTCTCTGGCTTTTGTCTTCTTCCTGGGATGAACAAGGTGCTGCAGGTCAAATCCAGATAATCCAGGTTTGTGATTACCAACAAACGGTGAACTCAGACTGTGTATTTTCATTTCGGGGTCCACAGGGTGTGAGCAGACGAAATAGTCAAGCATGGTTGTGCCCCTCTTCTTTTTGGGCTAGCAATGTCAGCCTCTAGTTTGTAATGCTTGGTGGTAGGGGTGGTACTAGGAGTAGAAGGAGGAGGATCGCCGTCGTAGTCGCGTCGTAGCCGTAGCAGCAGCAAGAGCGGCAGCAGAAGCAGAAAGTACTTGCGCTACTTCAAGTAGCACTACAGTGAGGAGTGGGAGCAGCCGTGGTACTGTAGTAGTCAGCGCAGACTCAGAGGCAGCAATGGCAGTACTGGTACTGCCAGTATTAGTAATAGCAGCAGTAGCAGTAGTA